GGACTGTGCACCTGTAACTTGCTCAATGTGATAACATGTCAATGCCTCTTGCACCCGCCCACGGCACACCCACCCACAAGGTTGCCACATTATAGGTCTCACTTTAACTTTCTTAGGAGAAAGTACAACCTTAGTTAGACACCCCCACATTTTTAAGAATTTATAAGAAGGTCTTCGAATTTTTTATAATTCATATGGTGTCACATTTCTAAGGTTTCATCTTTGCTTCGTGGCAAATACACATAACGGTATCTTGTGCAACCAATGATAAAAGTAACGAAGTATCTTTTTTCACCTCTAGTTGATACATGTTTAAGGTAATGTCATATACTTCATAATATCATATTACAAAAGTAAATAATTCAACCAATATTGAATAATTCAATAATCCACTTATATAACATGCTTCAATTTCACATAATATTGAATGCATTAATATTTAACATATTATCATATAATAATGTATATAACATTATTTTATCATATCTCAACTATTAGTATAATATCTACTTGTTTATATCTTAAATAGAAATATATAATAAAATCTACGCAAGGAATGAATCTGTCTTAAGATTGTTGGTAAAATATATGTTTAATGTGACTTTTAAGATATAACAACCTTTATACTAATATGTCATGAGATAATTAACAATATGCTAATAAATCATTAATTAAATATGCAACTCTATATTTAATTAAATATACAAAATAAAGCAATAAAATAATAATAATATGCAAGGAATGAACCTGGACCGAGGCTAGTATTGGATACTATGTCCTTAAGACAGATTCGCCCCGCTATGGTGCTAACGGACTCAGTGGCATCTATCTCCCAGGATACAACGGTCTACATCCACCAGTAGCAGCACTACAAACTCGTGGATACGGCGAACCTCCTCCGTGTAATACTCTCTCTGACTCAAAAATGCATCTATATACTATATAAATGCTGAATTGGGTGTAATCCGAACCAAATGGTTCGGACCAATCTTAATATAGCTCGATGAAATTGGATTAGGATCGAAGTGGCTCGAACCACTTAACCTAAGATTTGAACCCACTTGGGTTGGGTTCTAGTCTAGAGAGGGAGATAGAAGAAAATGAAAATGAATAATTTGCAAATGATCCAAAGGGGGGTATTTATAGAAACAGAAATGCCTTTTCTGATTGGGTGCGTCTCTTCATCATTGGACACAACCATTACAATAGGTTGCAATGGTTCACATGGTGTCTATTCACCACTAGACACATCCATTCCAATAGGTTGCAATGGTTCACATGGTGTCTGTTCACCAATAGACACATCCATTCCAATAGGTTGCAATGTGTCTTTTCGAATGGGTGCAACCATGGGTCATGATGGTTCGAAAAAAGGTGTAACCTTTTGAAAAAACTAAAAAGTGGTTTTTTAATTTAAAAGGTGTAATCCTTTAGAAAAACTAAAAAGTAGTTTTTTTAATTCAAAAAACCAACCACCCAAAAAAACCTACTCATTTGTAAAACCCATTTAAATAAGCCCAGCCCAAAATTAGGCCCAATCTAAAATTCCAAAAAAGAATAATCTGGACTTTACAATTAGGCCCAAGCCCAAGCCCAAATCCTAAACTCAGCTTATTTAAATTTCAATTTGTTTCAACATTTTTTCCATGTGGGACAAACACTTCCCACATTTTGCATACCTATTTAGGCTTATCAAAACACTACACTTTGGAGCTAATTTCTCATTCATCCAGAAACGGATTTCAGAAAGTAAATATACCACGTTCATCTCCTTGCGGAGAGAAACGTGCTTGTCTAGAGATCCGTAAAAAATTAGTAGTGGAATCTATTTCAAATCTCATCCAAAGTTTATGTTTTTAATGCCCCCGTTTCCAGTAAAAACCATCTATAAAAATACTCTCTTATCTTCTTGTTATGTGCCCCAAAATTTCCAAATCATTTTAAAGAATATTAGGCTACTCATTTCTATAGTCACCCATACATATCATGGTTCGTAGGTGTGGTATCGATAATGATAACCGTTGTACTCAAAGTGTAACGGGCTCTAACGAAATGTAAACCAATCGAATCGACAGATTTATAGGAATGTATAACGATATCGAACTAAAAAATAATTATGAACCGACCGATACGTTACGTATTGACCAGTATAACTAACTATAGTATATATAATTCTCGTTGTCTTATTTGAAATTGGATTATCCGTGGCAATATGAAAAAAAATAAAGGTTTAATTGGAGTCTTTGAAACCTTATTTTGACCGAAGCCACAGACACTGTTGACTGAGTCACTTGGACCCATACGCTTAGTTGAAGACTCGGAAGGCCAAATGAAATTAAACACATGATTCATGTGAAAAAGTATTACGTATTATTCAATTCATTTTCCTGAGGTATGGGAACTAAATTTTCTTATTATTTTCTTGCATCGAATTCAAGTCTTTTTATTTATTTATTTTATTATTTAAGTTAGTGTCTTAGTGCACTCTCTGTTGGTAAGATTATTCACACCCTTTCCCGGGAAAGCAACATCATATCCTGCTTCACTGCCGATGAATTAACGTTGTAAGATAGGCGGTTTGAATCTGAATTTGTTGCAATGAAAAATGGTAACACAAATGAAAAATAAATTCAGCTGCAAAAATAAATGAACAAATAAGATAAATATAGTCCCAAGGATATGTAGATTGATTATTGCATGAAGGAGCAAAATATTAACATTAGAAAATGTAAGAAAGTAAAAATTAATTGATCAAACCTCGTCCGAAGGACACAGTAGGCTTAGGAGAAAATTAATATAATACCTTAAGAGCTAGCAGTTTTAGTACTCTTTGATATAAATTGTAGTGCAATATATATATAAATAAAATACTCCTTTCGTTCCAAAATGCTTGTTCATTTTTCTATTTTGAGATGTCCTGAAATACATGTTACATTCAAAAAACGAATGTACTATTTTTTATAACATTACCAAATTATACTTCTGGCTAAATAAGTGTACATTTTATGGAGTATTATCAAGAGCGAATTCATAAATTGTCATTGTCAATGGGGTGAACTAATATTTCTTTGAGTGGACTAATATTAGTAATACTATAAGTTTTTTTTTTTGGGCGCCCACCCCTACATCGGCCATTCAGTATTATTTTGAAAATTCACTCTTATTATAAAAAGTTGAATTCCTCAAATAGGTCAAGAATTTTGGAATAGTGGAAGTGCAAATTGTCAACAACTAATTAAGCAATGGGAATATATAGAGAAATAATGTACTTACAGAAGTGAGAAAATATTAATTTGCTACTCGGCACGGACCGGACTTCGCTCCAACCTCACCCTGGATTTCGCTTAGTTGTGTTTGATAGAAGTAGGGATGGCAACGGGGTAGGTTTGGCTAAACCCTACTCCGCCCCGTTATAAAATTCGTCATACCAACTTCACTCCTACTCCGGAACGTGTTTCTAATTAGTATACCATCCTCATTCCTACTACGGTAGATAAAATACTGATTCTGTCCCGCGTACTCCATTTAATTGTGGGGTGGGGCAATTTATGCCACTTTTATTATGTTAAAAAAAAAAAAAAACTACTAACTAGATCAATGTGATCAAATTAGGCTAATAAAATAATTGGCCCACCTATTAAATTACTAAAGTAGTGATTATTAATATATGAACTGACACTTCCAATAAAATAACAAGCTCTTAAAAAAATTAAATATATATTTGAATTAATTTCATTGATACCACCTCAGGTTTGCCTAAATATTACCCTCAAACATCTTTCGAAAAATAGCTATCACTTAGGTTTATTTTTATTTTTCCGTCACAGTCTCCATTAAAAATATAAAAAAAAAAAAACAATTTTGTCCTTAATTTTTAATCCCATTTATTCCTAAATACCAAATTACTTAAATGATCATTATACTCTCATTATTAAATCCACCTAACACTACCACCCGCATACCCACCAATATACGGATCCGGCGAAAAGATAACATATTATATATATATATATATATATATTAAAAATAAGAAACAATAAAGATATATAATATGATTTGTAAGTTTATAAAATATTTAGAAATATTTTAGTCTTTTTATCTAATTATTTAAGTTAAAAGAGTTATTTTATCTAATTTTCTAATAACTCAAAGAATATTTAAGTTATTTTATATTGTGTTAGAATTGTACAAGTAACGGTTAGGATGTGAATGAAAAATGGAGCAAAAGTTTATAATATAAGTGAAAGTTATTTTCAAAAAATGTTTGAAAGTATTATTTGGTCAAACTCGAGAGATGTTAGTGAAATTAACCATATATATTTTATATATATATATAAAATAAATTAAAGATATAATATATAATCGAGACGGAACGAGTTCATCACTAAATTCACTCTTCACAAACCTGTTTCGAATTGTTAATTATTTTGTCATACCCATTCCAATTTTATTTTTTGGGTGCAATATCCGCCCCATTCCGGACGAGACAGAATCCCACCGAATCGGGAGAAATTGCAATCCCTTGATAGAACTCATTGGTCTTGGTTGATAGTTTTTACCTTCATGAAATTAAATAATTCGTTGTACATTTTTTGCTGCTGTAATATGTTGTATAACGTGCAACTAGATTAAATCGAGATTGCAATATCAGTATTTAAACTCGAAAGATGCTTGGGTGATATAAGACGACGGATAGTACCATACGTGTATAATATGAAGTTCAAGAACACAAAATATAACAAGGGAAAATTATTTCAAAGAAAGAAAAAGAACAGAGAAAGAAAGAAAAAGGACTTTTGGTTGGTGAACTTACAAACCAGTGGTGAAAAAAAACAAAGAAAACTTACAAACCAGTGGAGTATAAGTTCCATTTTTTCAGAGAAATGGAATATCTTAAAAATGTTATTACAAATAAATGAATTTTTATAATTGGACAATTACCTTTTCCGCGAGATGACCAAATTACCCTTTGACGACTCACTTTACCAAAGTCTCGCTACTCTCTCACGATCTGCACACACCACACACGCATTCGAATAGCTCTCAGCAGAATGAACTGTTCTTCAAGTAACTCTCACTTTTCATATACATCTTTAATATTCACACACAATTTTATCATCACTTTGATCTCTGATTCTCTTGTTTCACTCTGTTACAGTCTCTAGCGAGGTGCCGGAAAGCCGGTGGTTTCGAGGAAGTCTAGACTTCTGATCGTGAAGCGATTAATAGAGAGACATACATCGGTATGTCCTTCTTTTTCTTTTTCTTTCTTTTTTTTCCTGTTTTGCGTGCTTCTACAATATGCTTTGTTTGGTTAGTGAGAAAACCGTAGGTAAAATGAAGAGATTAAGCTTCGGAATCTTACATGTTTCATTTTGAAGTTCTCAGGGAAAGAATTCGCTCTACTTAGCTTTGAAAAATCATCCGCCCCTGTAGCAAATCCACCATAATCAATCTTCCGGTTTAATCAATCACTCTCAATAGGTAAGATTGTTCTGCACTCTACTCTGTGCTTAAAAAAAACCATAAATTATATGCATATATACTTGTATATATGTAGTCATCTTTATTAACCTTAATTTTAACCCTAAATTTGTAAATCCATAGTTTTGGCTTATGAAAAATCTAACTAATATGATTATCTAATTTCTCTAAATAGTCATTCCAGTTGAGCTCCAAGCTCATATAGCGTGTGTTGCGTGAAATGGCACCGGGAGGGTTAGATGTCAGCTGCTCTACCTCAAAGGAAGAAGAATTGCGGGCTAATGTTGTTGTCGGCATGGACCGTCTGGGAATCGATGCAGGAATATCTTCTAATGGAAGCTCCCAGAGTAACAAGGAAGATGACGAAGGTGGTGTGCAAATCAACTGCTTTTCCGAAGAGTCGGACAATGTAACTCTCCATTTTCAGATCATTCGTCTTCAAAAACAGGTTGGTTTTCGTCATCGAACCTTCCTTTCATGACTTGTGTCATCACTTATACAACCATTAATTTGATCATTCAATGATTTTTTTCTGCTTTATATTCGGATTCAAGCAATTTACTTGATGCCCCATTTCACAATTGTTGGAACACTCTTATTGTTACTTGATTTTAATTGTTGAGGGTTGTTGTAATTTACTTTCAGATAAACACGGATTATTGATGTGGTGTATGCGAACCCTTGTTCAGATGCAGTAAACTTACCCAATATAAGTAGTCATCATTTGAAGTTCAAATTTGTGTTTCTGTTTTTGAGTCAGCAACTAGAGGTTATGCGATTATGTAGATGATATGCAGCTTTTATTTCCTATGTGAGTTTGCATTTATCATACTTTGTCACTGGATTATTATTTACTTTAACCTAGTTTTTAGATTTGGACTGTCAATGTGCTTACAGTACATAAAGAATCAAGTGAAATTGATTCTCAAGCTCTAGTTTTTTGCTCTTGATTTTATGTTAATGTTGCCAAATTGAATTGACTTTGTTTTTCTGGGAGATTATTAAAATTCAAAGTGTCTAGATATTTGCTTGATGCTGGCAGGAACTGTGTTCTGGACTGTGGGAGATGATTCTGTTGACACTATATGAAAAATCACTTATTCTGAGGATACCATGCCAAAAGTCACTTTAACTTATCAAATTTTTTTTTGGTGTGTCAAAAGTCACTTTAACTTATCAAATTTTTTTTTGGTGTGTCAAAAGTCACTTTAACTTATCAAATTTTTTTTTGGTGTGTCAAAAGTCACTTTCAGAAGGCTCGTGGCACCCTGAACATTAGGCATTTGTTTTAAATGAAACTAACTTCGTGCGAACAAAAGAAATCAGCATGATGCACATTAGAACTCACAATTAGCTAATATATAATTTTTTTTTTCCTGTATTTATTTATTTGTCTTCATTTTGTTTTTTACTTGCTATGATATCATAACTGATACAAAGTATTACTCAGTCGTAAAAAGGAAAATAGGAAACTACTCAATGCTTCTGAACACACATTAAAAAAAAGATTTTCTAGTCAGTTCTTTAGCTTTCTTCTCTCTGGTGGTTCTATTTACTATGCTGTTTTTGTAGATATATGCGTGGATCGGTTGCAACTCAGCCAAATTCGGAAATTTATATGCAGCTCTGCCGGCAAGACCTGTAAGTTAGACAATTTCTACATCATGCTGGTCTTCCTATTTTTTCTGCCATTCATTGTTGATTCTTTGGGATAAGATTTTCTATTATTTCAGCAAAAGATTCAATATCTGAAGTTCAATTTTGATAATTTAGAGAGGGAATTAAAAAAAACCATGTGTTGATAATCTTACCATACTTGCTTAGAAATGTTCAAATCATCTGTCATTATTATTTTATTAGTCATCATCATCTTATAGTTTAATGGTTATATGCAGAAAAACACAGTTAGTGTTACTTCCATAATTGGGGGAGCTTCTGATAATACAGGATCTGGCATTGCTCGTCGATTAGGTGAATTGTGATATGCATTAATTACTCTCACAATATTTTATTTGGATTCATGGGCTGACATGCAACTATCCTCACAGTTTTGAAGACTGGTCTAAATGTCATATTGGCTTGCAACATTCCAAAAAACAGCCCCATACTTGAGGTTTAATCTCTCTCTCCCTGTCAATGTGTATATGAACAATATACATTTGCATAAATATTTTATTTCTTAAGTTCTATTTATTCCATATTTTGTGATGTTTAGCTATTAACAAACTGACTTGATATTGTGGATTTCATCAATCAGCCTTGTTTGGGTGCATGCATAATTTAGCGTGTTGGATGTTCTTGTTCCTGGCTGTAATACATTGTCTGGCCTCTTTTTTCCTTATGGTGTTTTTCAGGCAGATGCTGAGAAAAAGCTGGTGCAAAAACTAATCAATCTGGGATACGCTAGGCCAAAATCCAAAGGATGACCTTAGTAGCCGAAAGCCGAGACTGGTATGCTAAACATGAAAGGTACAATTAGTTTGTTTATACTTTATGGTGATTCTGCTGGCACTGTGATACCCACTATAGCCCAGGAAGCTGCAACAAGGAGTTATGGCACCATTGATGGATCATGCTATAGTGTTTTACATTCTGGTACTCCTTTTTCCAATGATCCTGTGCTTTAAAGTCCTGCTCGCGATAAGTACAACTGTTGGTAACAAGGTCTTGTTACATAAACTTTTACAAAGTTTAGTCTGTACGTTGGCTGCTATATAACTGAACCATTGTTGGATACTGTTGAAGCTCTCTTCATTCTGACACAGGTCATCAATATAATTGCTCTATATTTGAAGGGTGCAACTGGAATTGTTAGTTTGCTTATGTGCAGTCTTTCTTAAGTTGTAGTGATGTGCTTTTTGGAAATGTGCATGTTTTTGGGTTGAAAAGAAAAAGGTCCGTCACCCATTGTTAGTCCCACCTATGTGGGTTTCTTATTGGAAGTGTTTCTTTTCTTCTTGGTCATTTTGTGTGTTCCTAGGGTGTAAAGACTTGTCATGGCAAGAGATTCATTGAGGTACCATGTAGCAGCAAATCACAACAATGAACAATCAGCTTGCGGTATGTTTAATTAAAGGCAGAGCGAAAGCCTAAATTATTAAGCGTTTGAATGATTTATCCTCCAGTTATCGTTGTTTGTCTTGAGAATAAGTATTCATTTCCTCCTTTTCGGTGTCAGAGATGTTCATTGTATTATAATTTTCCTGCTTTCGGTGTTGGAGATGTTCCTTGTATGATAAGGTCGAAAGAATAATTAAAAACAAATATAAAGGTTAAAGAAGGCCTTTACTAAACCAAGATTGAAACAATTAATAAGAACAATGCATTTGCTGATGACCTCACAATTAATAGTGAAACTTCAATAATTGAGTGCATTCACATGTTTTTGAGTGCGTCAGAAAGCTGCCTTAGGTCTCTGCTTCTTTATAAAAGATATGTAGATGCAGTCTCGGAAGCCCGGATACTTCTGTTAGAGTGCCGTGGCGGTATCGGATACTTGGACACTTTTATAATATGCGGATATGGCTCGGACACGTGTTGGATACGGCTAGAAGTATTCTGAATAGTAAATATTTTATTTTCTGGTCAGACACGGTTGAGATATGACAAGGATATGGCAATGATACGTTTTGGACACTTTTAGGATACGATGGGTTGATTTTGTAATTATTTTTTTTAAAAAAATGAAATTTAATACAATCTAAAATATATTGTGTTAAATAGAAGAACAACATAAAATTTAATAAAACAAAAATAACAGTGTCCTGATGATCTCAACTTTCAGAGTCAAATCGGCTAGTGAATTGTTGGGAGAACTTCTGGAGCCAACAGCGTTACATTTACTGAATTCTTTATTAAATTCAGCTCAAGTGAAACAGGAACACAAGTTCCAAATTCTGGACTGGTTGTTCATTGATGAGAGTGATTTAATGATTATCCCTGGAGGTCAGAATAGTAACTATAGGACTACTTCAATCTTTCTTTAAATTGTAATGCTATGCATGGAGCAAGAATATTATTGCTTGGTCGGGTTGCTTTATTTCTTAGTTTTTTGAAAAGTGCTGCTGATCTTGAAGAAGATGTAATACTAGGGATCACTAGAAAGCTTAGATGGCTTTTTAATGTTTTAATTGACGAGGAGGTGTATTCTTCCGTCCTTACTTTGCGAGTTCCTATATTATTTGGTTCTAATAAAACCCCGGAATTAGCTTATGAGCCTATGTTTTCTAACATTCTGCATGCACTGAAAACATAAGTGATTGTAGTCAATTCCAGTTGAGCTTGGGGTTGACCTTGTGCACTATGTTCTTAGCTCAGTATTGCGGAAATAAGAAGCAGAAGAAAAGTATCGCCAGCCTTTTCACCATAAGGCAAAGGAAGGGAGAAACTCTGCAAGATTTTTTATCCAGGTTTAACATGGAGGCCTCGGAGATAGCAGATTGCCACCCTGCCACGGCAATCAAAACATTTAAGTTGGCAATGATCCAGGGAACCAAGTTTCACACATCCTTGGTCAAATATTCCCCCCCGGATATGCAGACTTTGAACGCTAGGGCACAAATCTACATTCGGTTGGAGGAAAACGTAGCCCACCGTCCACAGCACGCTACCCTCGTCACAGTGGAAAACAAGTCTCGAGAGAAAGCTGCGAGCACAAGGATGCAGAAGGTTCCTCATACCGCCACACAAGTCACCCAAGCGTCTGAGAAAAGGCGAAAGATAGAGGACAGGCTTACCCCTCTCCGTACTACCTTGGCGCGCCTATTCCAAGAGAATAAGACGAGGTTTGTGACTCCTCAGCCCATGAAACAACCCTTGGAGCAGAGGGACAAAAGCAAACATTGTGCCTACCATAGAGATTATGGGCACACCACCAATGATTGCAGGTCCCTACAGCGACAGGTAGAAAGTATGATAGCGAGAGGAGAATTGGTGGAGTATCTCGCCACGAAGGAACACGTAAAACCTCGGGAGGTTAACCCTCGACGGGTAGAGGGCGGCCAGGTAAAGGTTATCCATGCTATACACGGAAGGTCAGAGGATGATGAAGATTCTGAAGAGTTGTACAGATCCAGGCTGAGGGAGGCTCATAAGTTACGAAGATTGTCTTCGGTAAACACGGTTGCACCAGGCAGCATCAACATTGGATTCGGTAACAATGATCTTTCTAGAGTCCAGCACCCGCATGAGGACCCCTTAGTCATCAGCCTCCTGGTAGCGAATTATATGATCAGGAGAGTGCTGATAGATCCGGAAAGTAGCGCCAACATCATTACAAAAACAGCTTTTGATCAGTTGGGGGTTTCACCATCATCCATCAGGCCAACTTCCAGCCCCCTAATGGGATTTGATGGCACTAAGGTGAATCCGCTTGGGGTGATCGATCTATCCGTTACTGCAGCAAAGAGGACTCTGAAGGAAAACTTCGTCGTGACAGAGATTCATCCATCTTATAACCTCATTATGGGGAGAGGTTGGATCCATCGTATGAACGGAGCCCCCTCTACACTTCATCAAGTAATGAGGTGTTTATCCCCGGATAGCAGGGAGGTCATCGACCTTTGGGGAGACCAGGTTGCTGCAAAAGAATGTTACATGCTAACGCTACATGAAGCAAAGAAAGCGTCGAAATCACCTCAGTCAGAGGCGAGTCCCAAAGACGCAATCAAATAGCAGTTACAGTACCCTCTGCCCAAGTATCTCAAGGCAGAGGAAGAAGTCGAAGCTGAAGCACCTACCGAGGAGTCCCTCGAAGCTATAGAGGTAGTCCTCGGAGACCCTCAGAAGATCACCTACATTGGCTCATCTTGCACAGCCGAAGAGAAGGAAGCATTGATCAGGGTCATTCAGTGCAATTCGGATGTCTTTGCCTGGGATCACTCGGACATGGTGGGGATCGATCCTACAGTCTCATGCCATAGTCTGAGGGTTAACCCAGAGTTCAGGCCAGTCAAGCAGAGGCACCGACAGTTCGCATCTGAACGGAATCGCATAATAGCTGAGGAAGTAAATAAACTATTACAAGCAGGATTCATTCGAGAGGTGCAATACCCACAATGGCTCTCAAATGTAGTAGTCGTTCAAAAGAAGAATGGGAAATGGAGGGTATGCGTAGATTATACCAACCTTAACAAAGCTTGCCCAAAAGATAGCTTTCCTCTGCCCAAGATTGATCAAATGGTGGATGCTACGACGGGTTATGAAAGGCTCACATTCCTCGATGCATACTCCGGCTATAATCAGATTCCCATGAATCCTGAAGATGAGGAGAAAACCGCTTTCATCACAGAAACGGGCACTTACTGCTACAGAGTGATGCCCTTCGGTCTAAAGAATGCCGGAGCCACCTACCAGTGACTTGTCAATAAAATTTTCAATAATCTACTGGGAAATACAGTTGAAGCCTATATCGATGATATGGTGGTCAAAAGTATTCGGAAAGAGGACCACCCGAAGCACCTCTAGGAGGTCTTTGATACTCTCAAGAGATACAATATGAAGCTGAACCCCACCAAGTGCTCCTTCGCCGTCTCGTCAGGACAGTTCCTTGGGCACGTCGTAAATAAAAGAGGAATAGAAGTAAGCCCAGCTCAGGCAAAGGCACTCATACAGAACCATGAGCCGAAAACCCGCAGGGAAGTGCAAGTTCTAACCGGCCGAATTGCGGCTCTCAGCCGGTTCATATCCCGATTATCTGATAACTATAAACCTTTCTTTGATGCTATTCGATCCAAAAACAAAGATATGTGGGGACCTCAGCATCAGGAAGCTCTCAATCAATTGAAAAGCTACATGACAAAACCCCCAATCCTTTCTGCTCCAACGCCCGGAGACACTCTCATCCTGTACCTGGCAGTATCAGCTGTAGCAACAAGCGCAGTGTTGATCAAAGAAGGAGGCAAGGTTCAGCACCCAATCTTTTACACAAGCAAAATGATGACGGATGCCGAGACACGGTACAGCAAGACAGAAAAGGTAATCCTGGCGTTAATTTATGCCAAGAGGAAATTTCGACATTACTTCGAGTCTCACAGCATAGTGGTACTTACAAATCACCCTATACGGGCTATCCTAGCTAAACCAGACCTGTCTGATCGAATTACAAAATGGGCTATTGAACTTAGCTCTTTTGACATCACCTATGCACCGAAGGTATCTCACAAGGGGCAGTCGGTAGCGGATTTCTTACTAGAGTACGAAGATCAACCTGAGGAACCGGCACTTCAAGAGCCATACTGGGAGTTACGGGTTGATGGCTCTTCCAACCGGAAAAGGGCAGGGGCCGGGATTGACATCACAACACCCGAAGGTACCAAGCTACAGCAGTCAATTTTGCTAGATTTCCCATCTACTAATAACGAGGCCGAGTATGAGGCGATGCTCGCCGGACTTCGGCTAGCTAAACAGCTACAGGTACGATGTTTAAAAGTTTTTAGTGACTCACAGCTTGTGATCAATCAAGTGACAGGGCAATATTCTCCCAAGGAGGAACGAATGAAATCGTACAAAGATGCTGTAGAGAGTGCTATCCGGGAATTCGATCAAATCGAGTTCCATCAGGTACCACGAGATGAAAATGCCGAAGCAGATCGATTGGCCGCAGTCGCATCATCTTCAGATGAAGAGTTGATTCGGCTTGTTCCAATCGATGTTCTCGAAGAACCCAGCATTAATCCCCGGCAAGAGGTGATGGTGATCCCGGAAGTACCACGCGAGCCCTGCTGGATTGATCCAATCGAGGCCTACCTCAAGGAAGGGGTTCTCCCGAATCAGAAAGCTGAGGCAAGGAAGCTTAGGCTTACCGCGGCTAAGTACGCAATCATCAATAACCAGTTGTACCGAAGGTCATTCTCCGGTCCCTATCTCAAGAGTTTAACCCCTACTGAGGCTCTCACAATTCTAAAACAAGTTCATGAAGGAGATTATGGAAACCACTCCGGAGGAAGATCCCTCGCACACAAAATTCTAACCCAAGGTTATTTCTGGCCATACCTGGCTCGGAATGCCGAGGAATACTCAAGACGATGTGACAAGTGTCAGCGCCATGGTCCAATAAAGCA